GCTCTCACTCATCACTGTTCGTCTCATCTACAGCCTCAGTTTTTGTTTCTATGTTTGCAGACAGTGTTAAAGACTTGTAAACAAGGTGACAGGTCCTGTCCTGTCCCCTCTGGCCACCAGAGGTCCCCAGCTCCTGGCCTGTTCCCTTCACTCCTCTCCAGGTCGTCTGTCCTGATCTGTCCCCGTGTTTTACCTGTTTCTGGTTCACTCACCTGTTGTGGACTTGTGCTGGGGTTTTTGGACTGTGCTCCCTTTGGACCAGTCACCTGGCTCTGGACTGTTTCCTGCGTGTTGTTTTCCACAGACCTTCCCTCAGTTGCTGACAGACTGAGCACCTGACCAGGACCAGTTAGACCTTTACAGATGTTTAGTATCAGAACATGTAGTGAACGTGCTCAGTTTATATGAGCTGATAAACGACAGAGCAGATAAAGTGTCTGAATGCCTGACTAGGATAAAATGGTCATTAATGTCTCATCAGCTCAGAGAAAATTGTTCAGCACCAAAACCGAACAACTCGTAGCAGCAAACACAAAACACACACTGCTGCGTCAGAACATCCACACTTCACCGTGTTGTATCGATAGTACAAAGCATCTGTATGATCGATAATAACACCATGCGACTGGTCGGCCATACACGACCCTAAGTTCCATCATGTTCCTTCCAGTTTGATCTGAGAGTGAAACACAGACGACATCCAGCTGTCGATCACTGAGCTGATTGATCGCTGTGGGACTGGGTCAGACATCCAGTCACCGATTGATGAGCGAGTGTGACAGTTCAGTGTGACTCCTGAACTAACTCTCACACAGAGGCGGCCTGAGTCTGGACGCTCGCTCTTCATTTGGTTCTTAATAGAGACAAAAACAGTTTGTCGACAGGTTGATTCTTTCTGACTAAATGTTGCTGTAAGTTAGTTTATCGACTAATAAAACATAGTTTGATCTAAGTCTGGAGTTTCTACTTTGGATCCTTTAAGATGAAGAGGGTCAGAACTGTTTTACTGAAGCTCGAGCCTTTAAACACTTAAAATACGTTTCCTGCTGCTTCCACTTCTTCTGTGGTGAAGAAAAGACCAAACACATTTATTCAAGTTTAATCCTCCAAACTGACAACAGTGATAAGTCTATACATTAAATTGTTTCTGTTTATATTTAAACATTTCCATTTGATTTGAGAGCTTGTTGAATAAATGTCTTTATTCTCTTTATAAAGTAATAAAAAGAAATATCCGGCTTGCAGGTGGCGAAAATGTCTTATTCATTTTAACACACATCACTCCAGATTTTATAGAATCACAAAAACAAGTCAAATCCAAACGGAGACACAACAAACTACACAAAGCTGTTAAATCAAAGAAGTGAGGGAAAGTATTGAATGTGAAATCGGTTAAAGAGCACGACGTAAATCAGTGATGGTTCATCAGTCATTAGAAGAGAGACCAACAAATAAAGTGTTTTTTAAATAACATCCTCTGATCTCCTGAGCCACGTAGCCCCGAGCGGTCAGGCGGCCTTCAGACTGAGCTCAGCTGACCTTCTCCAGCTCCCCCCCGTTAGCTCCGAGCTGCTAACTGCTCCGCTGTGCTCCCGAGTTGGTCTCTGGCTGGCTCTGTCTGCTGCTGAGCAGGTCGTGGACAGCAGCTGTTTACAGCTTTTATTCTGAAAATACTGAGACTGAACCAGACATGAAGTTTGCAGCAAAACCAAAACTAGAAGCTAAAAGAGGCTAAAAAGCTGCAGAGATGGAGACAGGTGTCCACTCGCTAAGCCCCTCCCCTGGACAGTGACTGGTGTGTTAGATGGGTGAGGTTCTTGGTGGAGTCCTGACTCAGGGCAGAAAGTTCATGTAAAGCTTTTTTAACTTTCATGTGTTTTGATCTTTTGTTCCAAAGCCTCAGCTGCTCAGGTCAGAGTCTGTCGGTTAACAAACCTGAAGCTGTCAACTTCTTCTTCTTCTTGTCAGGCATGATCTCTGCAGCCCTGCGGCTCTCTGACAACACACTCTGAACTGGTCTGCTGCTCTCTCGTCAGCTGATCCACAGCAGCGTTCATGGCGGC